CATTGCTCCCAGGAAAAAGACTAAAATCCTATCATGTGACCTATAGACGTTTGGGGTTCATTTTACACCAGTTTTCTCTTAATATCTGCACTTAAGCCATATTAACTTTTGAGCCCATTAAACACTATTTAAATGAACTTGTCCAGGTCACCCATGATTTCCATCCTGCTGAATCTAAAAGCTAATTTCTGTTCATGTCTTTCTTAACTTCTTAGTAACATTCAACAGTTGAGTATTCCCTCCTTGGAGCCTCTCTTCAGCTGACTTCTGTGGCATCACAGTCTTTCTCATGTGGTTGTAGATGCTGGAGTTCCTTCATTTAAAAAAAAAACTTTTTTGATAATCTTCACTGAAGGATACATTTTTCCCCCATTGATTTTTAGAGAGAGTGGAAGGGGGGGTTAAAAGAGAGAGAGAGGAGAAGAGAAACATTGATGTGAGAGAGACACATTGGTTGCAGATGCCCTGACTGGGAATTGCTGTGCAGGCCAATGCTCTAACCACTGAACCACACTGGCCAGGGCTGGAGTTCCTTCTTGATTGTTGGTCCCCTTCACTGCTATAGTCTCTCTCATTCATCTCTCTCTTTTTTTTTTTTTTTTTGTAAATCCTCACCTGAGGATATTTTTCCATTTATTTTCAGACAAAATGGGAGGGAGGGAGAGAGAAGGAGAGAGAAACATCACTGTGAGAGAGACACATCGACTGGTTGCCTCCCGCACACCGGGTCCGAACTGAACCGAGGTATGTGCCCTTGACTGGAATCGAATCCGGGACTCTGGTCCAAGGGCCAATGCTTCAACTGCTGAGCCAAACTGGCCAGGGCTCTCATTGATCTTTTCTAATCTCATGGCTTTGAATAACATCGATTTCAACATACACAAAAGGAGAGAGAGTACCATGAAATCCCATGTACCCATTCTTTGCCCCCAGCAATTAATTCATGGCTACTCTTGTTTCGTGTGTGTATTCCTACCACTTGCCCCATCCTAACTAGATTATTTTGAAGCACATCCTAAGTATATCTTTTTTCTATAAATATTTCAATCTGTAGTTCCAAAAGGTTACAATTTTAAACATAATACAAGTATAATATATAATTAACAGTAATCCTAAATATCATTTAATACCCTGGGAACCAGAATAGAACTATTGCTCTGCCCACTCCTTCCAAATCATTTCTTCCCCCAATCTCTTCCTCACACTCAGTTAATGGCACAACATCCTTTCAGTTGCTCGGGTCCCAAACCTAAAAGTTATCCCATTTTCTTTTCTCACTCCCTACCCCTCTCCCCAATTCATCAGCAAGTCTTATCAGCTCTAGTTTCAAAGTAAATCATTAATTCAGCTTCCTCTCCCTAATTCTGTTGCTTCCACTTTATCAAACTGTCTTTATCTTGTCTAGACTTAGGAGTCTGCTAAATGGTCACCCTGTTTCCTTTCCTCTCTCTGTAGTCCGTTCTCTATATAGCAGCCAAAGTTATCTCTTAAAAAGTTAGTCATTTCTATCATCCCCTTGCCTAAAACTGTATTACCTTTAGAACAGAATCCTTGATTGTTTCCATAGTCTCTGTTGTCCTTCATTTTTTTCTCTGACCTTACTTTTTACTATTTTCTCCCTTATTTACTCCTATCTCACTTACCTTCTTTTAGTTCTTCAAACAGCCCAAAGTTTGTTCTTGTCTCATGATGTTTTACTTATTTCCTCAGGTGTTCTTGTTGTTGGCTCATTCATATTTAGGTCTCAGCTCAAATGCTTCATCCTCAGAGTAGCCTTTCTTGATCTAAGGTAGCTCCTTCAACCCCACCCAGTCACTCTTCATCCCTGTTACCTTAGTTTGTATTCTGAAACCCCTTATCTGGGGTTGCAACCCATGGTCAACTACAGTCTGAAAATATTAAAAAGAAAATTCTGGAAAGAACAATTTATTCGTTTTAAATTACACACCTTTCTGGATAGCGTGCTGTCCTGCACCATCTCACCCAGGACATGAATCGATGAGTCATCCCTTTGCTACCTACCCATTAGTCATTTAGTAGCTGTCTTGGTTATCAGATCTACTGTCTTGATATTATAGTGCTTGTATTCAAGTAACTCTTACTAATAATAACCCCAGAGCATAAGAGGAGTGATGTTGTTAATTCAGATATGTCAGAGACGCTGTAAATTGCTTGTTGTTTTTTTTATCCTCACCCGAGGACATTTTTCCACTTTTTGTTCAGATAGAGTGGGAGGGAGAGAGAGGAAGAGAGAGAGAGAGAGAGAGAGAGAGAGAGAGAGAGAGAGAGAGGGAGAGAAACATCGACGTGAAAGGTACACATCAAGTGGCTGCCACCCACATGACCCAGTCAGGGCCTGGGACAAACTGCAACTGAGGTACATGCCCTTAGCGGGAACCGAACTCAGGTCTCTCTGAACCACAGGCCGACGCTCTAATCATTGGGCAAAACCGACCAGGGTGTAAATTGCTTTCTTTAAGTGAAAAGGTATGTATGTATGTATAAGAGAAAACACTATATATGGGGTTTAGTACTGTTCGTTGTTTAAGGCATCTACTGGGGTCTTAGACCATATCCCCCATGGATAAAGGGGGACTACTTTATTGAAATTATCTTGTTTATTGGTATACTTGTTTATTGCCTGTCTCTGAGAATTTTTTTCCATAAAATCAAGGAACTTTTCTATTTTATTTACCACTGTAGCCCTGGTGTTTGGAATGGTGCTTGACATATACTAGACATTAGTGAATATTTTTTGAATGAAGAGTAAGTTAATAAATGGATGAACGTTGTGGCACTTTCTAATTACTACCTGTGTTTTAAAAATAAAGATTGTTGAAGCCTCTTAATCAAGGAATGATTTATCTAAAATGTATAACTTAAATGTAGCCTCAGAAAACCAGTTTGATATTAAAGGAGGCTTTTTTTAATAGTCAAGTTGTAGGAGGTTAAGTTGACAAAGTAGGTCTCTGCCCCTTACCTATTTTTTGATTCTCTAAACAGTGCTAACCATCATTTAACTTGTCACTTATTGACATGATACATCTTCCACTGTACATAAAACATTATTTAAAGTTGTTTAGTGAACATGTTGAGATTAACCCCTAACAATTTCAGTGTACAGAGAATGATGATGCTGTTGACAAAAAAAATGAAAGATACAAGAAGATCAAAAATAGAAGGATACTGGAAGTGGGGATAAGATAGTGAAGCTGGTTTTAGACCTGTCATTAGCCTGTGTTTTATTAGTCGAAATTATGAGCCTTCTACAAGCTGTGTTATTTCTAGATTGAAATCTAGAAAAGATCATTAAGTTACTAATGAAAGATTAAAGACTGATAGGAACAGAACCTGGACTATAGACTTAGTCTGAGTGGCCTAAATGGTCATTATTATTGGGACCAACCTAAATGTTCATTAATGGAGAAGTGGTCAGATAAGTTGTAGTACTGCCACAGGATAAAATGTTTATGCAACTACTAAAAATGTCTTCAAGGTGTTTTAAATAACAAGGGCAAAATGTTCATGATATAATAAATATCATGAAGTTGGACTTTAAAATGTTACATAGTACCTCAATTTTATAAAAATATTCATAGGTATTTATAGGAAAAAAAACTAAAGGGACATATTAAAGCATTGATAATGGTTAACTGAATGATTTTAATTTTCTTTAAAATATTTTTCCAATTTTTCTAAAATGAATGTGTAATGTTTCCATGCTAGTAAAGTTTTTATTTTAACAAATGGATGAAGAAAAAATAAAGGAGTTGGTTTCAGTCATGAATTTAAATTTGGCATAGGAAACAAATAGGATGTTATTCTGAGGGAAATAGAGGATCAAGCAAGTTGCTTTTGTGTGTGTGTGAAGATCTAATTGGCTTTATTGAATGATGAATGAATCAGGCAGCATCCTATCTAGCAAATAGGATGGAGTTCCCCTGCTTCTCTTACACAATAATATTGAATGTGAACTTGGACGTTTTCAATAATAAATCTCTTCCTAGTATTATATGTATTTCTTGTTGATTTTGTAGAGACCATGTTTGTTTGTTTATGGGTGGGGGAGGCAAATTTAAGAAATAATTGAAAGAGAAAGAGAAAGGTATACTACACCTTTTCTAGTGTTTATGTTAGTTGGAGACAACGTAGCAGATGCCCAGTTTCTCTAGTAACAAATGAAAGAAGTACCCTAGACAATGTTGGGAGAAGAGACTATGCTGTGTAGGCTTACTCAACAGAGTCCAAGTCCTCTTCCTTTATGTTAACATTTTTCTTTTGGTTGGTTTGAGAATTGGAGCCTTTTTCGGGAGGAGGAGATCTTTGGGAAGTGTGAACTAGGGTTCCTAAGAAAGGGAAACTGATTCTTGCTTGTTCTAGAAACAAGAAAGCCATGAAGATATGTGATTCCTTCTCTAGTAGCATATTTGGTTTTACTTATTTTAGTTACAAGCATAGTAAAAAACAAAAAACACACTTAAAAACTAACAGTCTAAAGGGTATAGATTAACTTCTGCAAGTTAACCACTACAGATAGTTTGTTGTGTTATCTTTCCAGAAGTTTTTTACCTAGCACCACGTTTTAGAATGCTAGGGAATGGAACAAGCAATTATGCTGGATTGATTTGGAGAATGTGGTAATCGAGTTCAATAGAATTCTGTTGTCCATATACTGGAGATGGAAAGAATACATACTGTTTGCTAAGTACTGTGGGTTTAAAAGTGAATTAAAAACCATCTTTGCCTTTAAGATGATCACATTGGAGCCAAGGAAACACAGCTGGTGCTCATTATTAGAATTATTATTACATAATTCTTATAATGAAGATTTTCCGGTGATTGCACTGTATTTGGTGTGGTTTCCCTATTTCTAATTTACAAGGTTGTAAAATATCCAAGAGCTTTATTGTTTTAGTTTAAATGCTGCTTCTTCTTTTTTTTTTTTTTAATCACTTAACTTTCCATTCAGGTTATTATTCTTTTATTTTAAATATATATAGGAATTACTCAAGGTGATGAGGACGATTGATGACAGAATAGTACATGAATTAAACACTACGGTTCCAACAGCTTCCTTTGCAGGGAAAATTGATGCCAGCCAAACCTGTAAACAACTTTATGAGTCTGTAAGTGTATCTTTTGAGTCTTTCTTTTGTGCTTCCTTTATGCCTTTCTTTGCAGGCAAAATAAGAACTCATTTGATAAATGTATAATTAAACTGTGGATAAAAGAATGACATCATGTTTTTCCTTGCCCACACCTGAGAGTGTGTATAGGTTTTGATACAGTTTATACAAGCTAAAGAAATGTGTGATTGTATGCACAGACTGTGAAAAGGTGGTTCTAAGGAAGGGGAGCAGTCATTTTTGGGCTCTCACTTGGGAAGCTTTTATTTTTTATTTATTTATCCTCACCTGAGGACATTTTTCAATATTTTGTTCAGATAGAGTGGGAGGGAGAGAGAGAGAGAAACATCGAGTGAAAGGGACACATCGAGTGGCTGCCACCCACATGACCCAACCAGGGCTGGGGACAAACCAACTGAGGTACACGCCCTTAGCAGAAACCGAACCCAGGTCTCACTGGACCGCAGGCCGATGCTCCAACTGCTGAGCCAAACTGGCCAGGGCGGGAAGCTTTTAATAACTAAGGAAACCTTATGCACAAAGGAATGACGGAGAGAGTGAAATCAGTCAAGTACAACAGGGAAACAAGAGGAAAGGCTTAGAATGGATCAGTCCTAAGAAGCTGGACAGCTGATATAAGAATTAAAGCCCTTCACGTTTTCTATGTCTTCTTTCTTCCCTTCTCTCATTCAGGAAGGGGAATAAAACATTTGGCAGTTGGGACAGAAGGAAAGTTACAGATAAATAGTCTTTTTCTGAGGCTTTGGTTTCTCAAGTTTGTCTTTTTTCATTGACTCTTAAAGCTTCCCTTTATTTCTCTCTTTAATTTCCAAAAGCAGAGGGAAATAATGATATAGCTAAGTATTTTTTTTTTTTATCCTCACCTGAGGACATTTTTCCGTTTTTTGTTCAGATAGAGTGGGAGGGAGAAAGAGAGAGAAACATCGACGTGAGAGGGACACATCAAGTGGCTGCCACCCGCACGACCCAACCAGGGCCGGGACAAACTGCAACTGAGGTACATGCCCTTAGCGGGAACCCAACCCGGGTCTCTCCAGATCGCAGGCCAACACTCTAACCGCTGAGCCAAACCGGCCAGGGTATAGCTAAGTATTTTTTATAGTTAACTTTTCTTTAACAAGGAAGCTAAAGTTCAAATGGCATTTGCTTTTTTAGGCTCTATTGCAAGATTACTATTTGGACTCGTCTTACAGAGAAGGTATTACTTAAAACCTAATGTGCATTTCTCAGTTATGAAAAAAATAAGTTTTGGATGAATCAGTTAAATTCAAACTATTAACTGCTGCTATTTTTGTTCTGCTTTTATATGAAAGTATGTTATTTTACCAAGTGGTCAGGTAATTCTAGGGGTTTGAGAAAATCACAGGGCAGTGAGCTTTAATGAGTAGAATCCAGTATTGAAAGTAGGGAGCATGCATCCTTATTATGGGGTTGTTTGACTGTTTACTTAGTTTCTTTGGGTAGCTCTGTCTAAAGTACTAGAAATTTGTTACTACTTTAGTGAGTCCACTTCCCCACTATGCATATAATCTCTGTAGTCTGTTCAGTTGTTTCCAATCATTTTATTAATTTAGAGGTTTATATTGTAGTGATTAACAACATGGATTCCAGATGTAGGTTAAATCCCACCTCTGCTACTTTCTAGGTGGATGACCTTGAACATGTTACATAACCTGTGCCTCAGCTTAGTTATTTGTAAAATAGTATCATAATAATACTTTCTTTATAGGGTTTCCAAGAAGATTGAGTTAATATAAAGTGCTTGCTGTACTAAATATTTTACATGTGAATGCTTGATTCTTCTATTAGTTATTGCTATTATTATTTCTTATCCTTTTGTTGAGCCAGGATAACCTTGCATATTAAATTTCTGTTTTGGATATCCTTACGTATGTGTTTGGGTTTTTCTCTGTTGATATCCTAGAGCAGCAATTTTCAACCTTTTTCATTTCACAACCTGCATAAACTAATTGCTAAAATTTTATGGCATACCAAAAAATATGTTGTACTCTTTTGTTGATCTGACAAAAAAAAGGGGGGGGGAGTATAATTTTGATTCATTCACTTCAAACGGCTATTGTTGTGTTGGCTGTTGTCATTTTTTTAAAATTTGACAACCTAAGGGAAAAGAGGTCAGTACCCCTGACTAAATAGTCAGGTATTGTATGTTTTAAAAATTCTTGAGGCACACCAGTTGAAAATCTCTGTCCTAGAGGGCTTCAGCAGTGTGAATATCATGCAGAGGATTGTTTATCAAGTAGTTTTGTTCCAGGGATCAGGTTTGCAGCACAGTGCTGTGCTAATAAGTACTACTGAGTTCCCTCAAGTATTGTCTCAGTTAAGAAGTGGAACTTTATGAAATATCTAAGCTACTTGTAGTCACCCTGACTTACTTGAGTCCCTGATCCTTCCTTCTGTAGCAAATGAAGCAGTATTTGCACTCTAATGGTAAAGCTTCTTCATAGGAGATGGTCAGCAAAGTTATTAAGAAGCACTCATTTTAGAAATTCTAAATCTTTTTTGTTTTAAATACTTTTATTGATTTTTTGAGAGAAAGGGAGGGAGAGGGAGAGAGAGACAGAAACATCCATGTGAGAACAAAACAAAGATTGGCTGCTTCCTGCACACCCCCTACCAGGGATGGAGTCTGCAACCCGAGCATGTGTCCTGACTGGGAGTCTAACAGGCAACTTTTCTGTGCATGGACAATGCCCAGCCAACTGAGCCAAACAAGCCAGGGGTTTTGTTTAATTTTAATGATAGTTAACCAAAGGTCATTGTCATAGTTCTTAAAGGAAAAAAAAAAAAACGATGTTGGAGAAATTAGAATTTAATTTAGAGTTTATTTATTTTAATAATTTTTTTGATTATTGACTTTAGAGAGAGAGGAAGGGATAGGGAGAGAGATAGAAACATCGATGAGAGAGAACATTGATTAACTGCCTCCTGCATGCCCCCTACTGGGGATTGGGCCCACAACCTGGGCATGTGCCCTGACCGGGAATCGAACCAATGACCTCTTGGTGCATGTGTCAATGCCCAACCACTGAGCCACACCAGCCGGGCTAGAGTTTATTTAGAATCAATCTTTGATTTAGAAAGAAAAACACACATGCCTGGCCAGTTTTGCTCAGCGGTTAGAGCGTCGGCCTGTGGTCCAGAGAGACCCAGGTTTGGTTCCTGCTAAGGGCACGTACCTCGGTTGCAGTTTGTCCCCAGCTCTGGTTGGGTCGTGCGGGTGGCAACCACTCGATGTATTCCTTTCACATCGATCTCTCTCTCTCTCTCTCTCTCTCTCTATCTCTCTCTCTTCCTCGCTCCTCCTCCTGCTCTATCTGAACAACAACAAAAAAGACACCAAATAAAATATAATCAGGAAAACTGTTGGCATTATATTTCCCTTAAAGACAAAAGCATTGTTTTACAGTAATAATTAAAAGATGTGAAAATTTTTAGACTAAAAGAAGTTTTCAAGTTTTGGTAAAATACAATAAAACTGGAAAGTCCTCGATAAACCCCTTATAGACTAGTTGTGAATCATTCTCCTGCCTAACCCCAGTGTCTTCGTTTCAAAATTGCTTACCCCAAATCAAAGGAAGTATGGTTATGATATGCTTATTGTTCAGGATTCTTCTTCTTTAACCAAAGCCTTCCTTGCCTTTTACCAAGTTTCTTAATAAATGTTACCTCAGTTTCTTTGATAAGCATTTCATATATATCAGAAACAATTTTCATGTGACCAAATCCTAAGCATCTGAACTGCTAATGAGCCAAGCCTGGTTTAGTGCGTTATTTGCCTCTGATAATATCATGTCACACTATCTGTTACTACTTATCAAGCATCCTTATTTCTTTGACACAGATGTACAGAAAAGTCCATGCATATTCCTCTTGCACATGGCTCTTAATTCTGAATTTTATTGAAGGATGGTCATGAAAACCAGATTAAAAATTAATTGTACAGAGTAAACTATGATTTGCCCAGTAATTTCTCTTCCCATGAGTAGGTTCCCAGGGGGCTAATATGAAGGAGGAGTAAGCAGGGTAGGAGGGTGATCTGCAGCTAGAAGTGTATCCACAGGAAAGGGGCGAGTTGAAGAGGGGAATCATGGAGAAAAGCCTAACCAAAGAGGGACACTCTGTGGTGAGAGAGACCGAAAAGAAATGTTCAAAATTTGAATTTGATTTTAAAATGCAGATGGAAAAATAGCAACTGCAGTTGAAAAATAAAATCTTAAAATATTAAATAAAATTACTTCTAAGAACTAAAAATCTAAAATGCAGACAGAAAAGTGAGACTATTTTGTTATACTTCTAGTTGGTGCTAGGGTTAGTTCACCGGTTGCTGTGGGTGTTAGACAAATATCAAAGTGATTGAAGGACATCTGATATCTGAGCAGTGTATTAAGTCATGTTGCCCCTAAATATTAGAGGTAGAAAGGGTATCAGTGATTATTTTCTCGTAATACATAATTTCACAGAAGTGAAAACAAGCCTGGAAATGATAATTATTTAGCCAGTCTAACACAGCAACGGGGAAAGCGTCTTAACTCTGAGGATGGTTCTTTTCTTTTTATTTTCTTTTGGAAAGAGTAGTTCCCTACACTCAGTGGCTCCTTTAATTTCCTATAATTATACCTGAAGGAGTAGACAAGTAAAGAACAGCATGTTATTCCATTTGAAATATGGGCCTTGAGGCTATCCTTGTGAAAAAATAAGCATATTAGAGAAATTTACTGTTGGTAGGGTTAATGTTTATTTGGCAGTTTACTTTTACTTTCCTCCTCTTCCCATGGGTATGGTTTATAATTAATGCACCTTTAGTACTGCACTCTAGAAACACAAAGGTTTATTCTTTCCTGGAGAATACTAGACCATGCGGTCCCAATATGATCATTTAGGAGATGTATTTCAAATAAAATATATGAAGAATGCTTGTAGAATGATTAAGTTAGTCTTATATTTTATACATATATAATGGTTGAGTTATTCTTGTTATAACTATCACATTTGGTTATTCTCCAGAGAGAAGAAGGAATGATAATTACATGGAACAAGTTAACAATTAAATTTTAGTTGGTGAAATTATTTATGTACCATTATAATGGTGATTATTTTAGTGTTTTGCTTTTTCTGTCCCCCAAATTTTGGGGATGTCATCAAAATGTGGCTATGATCACAGGAGTGTATTTGAAACATGACTGTCATACTTCTTGAATCAAGGCAGAGAATAAATGTGAATTGTTATATGGATTTGCTACATTAACATGAAAGTAAATAAAGAATTGCTGTTCTTTCAATCAACACACACAATTGAAAGAACCAATCATCTGTACTTCATATGTAATTTTTCTATATTAATACTTAAACTTTAAAGTCTTGAAAAGGGCTCTGTCTTACATAGGCATGTAACTTTCTTTGTTTTTCTTTATTGTAACTAAGAGCTTCTCTACATCACTTAACCTCATAATTCCTGTACTTGGTGACAGCATGAGGCTGAGGAAAGCATGAAAGAACACACACACACACACACACACACACACACACACACACACAGGAAGAATGTCAGTAGAAAGTGTGTGAGAGTGGGTTTAGGGTAGAGGAACCAATGGATGGAATAACGAGGAGAGAAGGGGATGGTAGGGAAGAGGAGACTGAGATGGTAAGCCCTGTGGGGTGTGCGGGAAGAGGGATTCAAGAACAACAGGAAGCCCTGGCAGCTGATTGAGGAAGAAGACAACCTGGATCACAGGCAGAGATGCTTCCTTTAATCTGTTTTTAGGGGATTTCGCTGATTAGCACAATCTTCCATAGATAGAACTTTTAAAAATTATTTTAGAAAGTATTACATTTCTGTTGTCTAAAAATGTGATAAATTGGTGTGATATTTTTTCTCTTTTCATTCCTTTGTTCTTTTAGTTGATGGAGGCTCATGCCAGTAGGGACAGATTTATAAAAAACTGCATAGCTCAGACGTCATCAGTAGTAAAACACCTCCGAGAAGAGAGAGAAAAGAATTTGGACGATTTAACATTATTAAAGCAACTTAGAAAAGAACAGACAAAGGTAAGTTGAATAAGGTTTACATTTCTGAGGCCAAGTTTTCCCAAACTTAGCCTTAAAAATAAAAGCATTTTTTAAAAATTTCCACCTGAGGATATTTTTCCATTGATTTTTAGATAGAATGGAAGGAAGGGTCGGGGATGGAGAGGAACACTGATGTGAGAGAGATCATCGATTGGTTGCCACTGCACCACCCTGATGGGCCAGGGATTGAACCTGCAACCCAAATACATGCCCTTGACTGGGAATTGAACCCATGACTCTTCGGTTCTCGGGCCAGTGCTTTGACTGCTGAGCCAAACTGGCTAGGGCAAAAGCAGTTTTTAATATAAAAAATTTAGAGTTAGATGTGATTATTACTTTTAAAAAGACCAAGAGATTAAAAGTTCATGTTTAGTGGATTTTATTTTATTACATTTGGAAATATCCAATGGTAAATTGGTAAATTAATGTGCATTTCATGAACATATGCAGTGCTGTAGCAGCTTTAGCTAAAAGGAACATGTAATCATATTTCCATTTCTTCATATATTCTGCTGTTAAAGGTGAAAGGATTAATTCAGACCAATATCACATCAGAAAATCTAGGGAAATCACATCTGTATCTATGTCTTGAGGCTTGACTGGAGAAGAAACATTTCTTAAATGTATATACATTTTGAAATTATTTACCTGTGGTTTTATCTGTAGAAATCTGCTAAAATGTAATACAGATAATTAACTTCAGGACATTACCCTCTTTGTCCATAAAAATGCAGTAAAATATAACCAGATACACTAGAACCTCATTATAATTTACCTTCCTACTGTGGAGAAGTTGTTATGGGCCTTGCCTCATTTTGAACACTCTTTTGTCTCTATTTCATCTCCCATTCCTGCAGCTTTCACTTTTAAAAACAGCAATTGCCAACTGAGTGATTTGTCAGAGGAAGCCTTATTTTCCAAAGTCAGCTATAATGTAGATAGGGTGCGGACCTCAGAGTATAGTTAATGAAGCAGAACACTTGCTGTGTAGCCCTTAAAAGTGACATGGCAAGAAAATGGTTGAAATGTATATGTGCCATATTTTATTGTGGGTACGCATTGCTGTCTCCTAGGGGTCGCTGATGGGGTAACTTTTTATTTTGATGTAATTTCAAACTTACAGAAAAGTTGCAAGAATAGTACAAGGAACTCTCATGTACCCTTTACCTATATTCACCTATTTGTTTAAATTTTTCCCCACCTGCTTTACAATTCATTTTCTGTACCTTCCCTTCTCCCTCCGTTCTTCCCTCCCTCTTTCCCAATCTTCCTTTTGGTCCCACCACATATGTACTTTTTTTCCTGAGCCTTTTTGAGATTATGTTGGGCATATTGTACACCTTTAGTCCTATATATGTTGGTTATTTTCTGGGAACAGGCATTTTCTTACATAACTACTGTACAATTATCAAAATCATATCTATATTTTAAGATGCCACAATAGGTGACTTACTGAGCCTTGCATGTGAGGTGAGTGACAATCCATTGTGGGGTGGAATCATGTTTTTCATACTGAACAGTTGTGAAGTTTGCCCTTTGTTTAGTAGAGGTAGCCAAGCATTGAACAGGGGGCCTTTTCATCTCTTTCAAGCCTTTGTTCTCATAGCTGTGCATGGGGAGTGTGTACTTGCTCAGCCATCCATCCCACTGATGCAGTCTCACTGGATATAGGATTTACCCACTGTCTTCGCTGCTCCCTGGTCACGAGACTGCTTCAGCCTGTGTTCCATTCTATGCCTGCTTATTCATCAGGCAGTGGTGGGTTTCTCAGACAGGGAACGTGCTCTAATGGTCATCTTACTTTACTGTTAGTGTTTATGAAGGCCTAATATAGAGATAATTTATATAGCACTGGTTAAAATGTAGTTATTTTTGTATTTTGTATTTTAACAAACAAAAATGTAGGGCAGGGCTGGTAAATCAGAAACTGAAAAATCACTATTTGCAAATTAAGTCAAACAAAAAATTAAGTGACTGTTGTTAGTGGAGAGCAAAGTTCAAAAACCAGTTGAGTGTTTGGGAGTGTCACACAGTTCGCTCTGCCTCACTTCTGCCCTTGCCTTTAGGACCCAGAGAGAATCACCAGGGTGACCACTGGAAAGGAGGAGCTTTGGAAACTAGCCAGTGAGTTAGGAAAGGTAGCTTTCTACCTGATATCATATAGGACTATAGGGTAAGCATGAGTAATACTTAAACAAATAAGGAAAGTGGTTTTTTTATTTTTAAGTTTGCTATGCAGATTATGGAATCAGAAAGAAACAGCTCTTTTTAAAACAATTATTTATTTATTTAATTTTGGAGAGAGAGAGAGAAACATCGATTTGCTTTTCCTCTTATTTATACATTCATTGGTTGGTTCTTGTATGTGCTCTGACTGGGGGTTGGACCTGCAACTTTGGTATATTGGGACAACTCTCCAATCAACTAGGCTACCTGGTCTTAAGAGCTGTTCCACCTCTACCCCTTCATTTTCTGTATGAGGAAACTGAGGCACAAAGATACTAACTCTTACCCTCAAATAACACGCTAGTAAGGTAGATGTGGGATGTAACCCATCTCTTTCAACTGGATTCAGTTAGTGTTTTTATATCAAGTTGTGACTGATAGTCAAATTCTGATTACTTTAGTGGACATATTTTATTGATACATAGAGATGAAAGTCCCCAGTTCTTTACCGGAATCCTTAACTCAGAAAAATTACATTCCTTGCTGGAACTATATAACTGCTGTCACCTATTAGTAGCCTTTGAGAAGAAGTTTACCTGTTTAAAACCCAGAGCCTTTTCAGAAACAGCCATCTCAAAGGTTGGTGGCATTGAAATTGTGTTAGAAGTTGGCAGTAATATGTGCAGTGTTCAAGAATAGGAAGAACATGGATTATAAAGGCAGATATCTCTAAGGAAATAAATCCCATCTACCACTTGGTAGCTTTGTAACCTTGTAAATTAATTGCTGTGAAACTTCGAATTTTCAGTTTGTAAAATGGAGTTAATACTTAATAACTTTGTTTTCTCTTTTTGGTGAGGATTAAATTACATATATATATATATATATATATATATATATATATATATGAACTTGCATGTTGGCTAATAAAATGTAGTAGCTCCTGCCCTGGCCGGTTTGGTTCAGCGATTGGAATGTTGGCCTGCAGAGTGAAGGGTCCTGGGTTCAATTCTGGTCAAGGGCATGTACCTGGGTTGCAGGTTCAATCCCAGCCTTGGTCTGGGTCATGTGAGAGGCAACCAGTTTATGTGTCTCTCTCACATCAATGTTTTTCTCTCTCCCCCCGCCTCCTTCCCTCCCTCTCCACCTCTCTTTCTCCCTTCTTCCCTCCCTCCCTCCCTTCCACTCTGTCTAAACATCAGTGGAAAAATATCCTTGGGTGAGGATTAACAACAACAACAAAAAGTAGCAGCTCCTTTCCTTTCTTTTCCTTTTTGGGTCTCTGTGTCTCCATATTTGTTCCATTAATCATCTTTACAATATCTCCCAACCAGTGGTTTCCACTTTTTGTTTAACTACTGCTTAAGGGGGCTAGGGATTCACTGTCTTCTGTGGCAGTGCATTCTCTCTTTATAATTGTTCAAAGGTTTTCTTATATATTGTTCAAACCTGCCTCCCTGTAATGGGTAATTACTGCTCCTTACTGGAGCTATGTAGGATAGGTCTAAACCCACTGCTACATGATATCCCTTTAAATATCTGAGAGCAGTTATGAAGACTGTCTTAGTGGCATGTTGTTTGAAGCTGTTACTTCTTTGGCAGACAGACCAGGCTTTGACAGAGCTGTGACACTTTCATGATTTCTGGTCCGGACAGCTGATTAAAATCTGAAACTGAGGCAGCCTTGCAGGTGCTCTTCAGGCTCGTTGCTCCTTGACAGCAGAGTACCAGTTGTCAGAAATGCAGCCCTGCCCCCCATTCCCCAGTTCCAGTCCTGTGTGCTAGACTGCACTCGGGCACCAGCTCTGAGTCTAGGAAGGGTGTTTACAAGGAGCTCCTGGATCAGTACCAAGTTCCAGTCTTACAAGAGTTACATGCACATTTCTCAGATCTTCTGCTTGAGCTATAATCCTGTTGGTCAGGTTCTTTGGCCTGAGTCTCTGACTCATGGTTGCCCAAATGTTGTCTAGCACTTGGGAATTTTGTCCCCAAATATCCTGGCCTGCGTCTTGACTTTGACCTAGGGAAATCATCCTGGTTTTAACTTCTTGGCTGCCTCAACCTGTTGTTCATGTTTTTTTCCCTTAATTTTCTTGAATATTTTCAAGCCCTTTCCCTACACTTGGTAGCTTCTTTCCTTTCAGGTTTCTCTAACCCAAGTGACTAGGAGTGTGATGGACCCTGCCATCTGGGATTGGCTACTTTTATCATTAGGTTGGCAGTTATAAAGAAACTTAGAAAGGCTTCAGCATTTTTGCCTCAGACCTCTGGAGCTTTATGGTCAGGGTGTGGAAAACTCATGCCTTTCGAGATCACTCAGGCCTTATTCCCCTTCCTATCTCTTTGTTTTTTTCTTCTTGATTCATTTTTCTTTTTTTTTTTTTTTCATCCTCACCTGAGGACATTTTTCCATTTTTTGTACATATAGAGTGGGAGAGAGAGGAAGAGAGAGAGAGCGAAACATCGATGTGAAAGGAACACATTGAGTGGCTGCCACCCACACGACCAACCAGGGCCGGGGACAAACTGCAACCGAGGTACATGCCCTTAGCGGGAACCGAACCTGGGTCTCTCTGGACCGCAGGCCGACGCTCTAACCGCTGAGCCAAACCGGCCAGGGCTTGATTCATTTTTCTTAATCCAACTCAGGTTGCCACCTCCTTTTCATCCTTTTTATTCCTCTCTGCTGTCTTTGCAAATCTGTATTGTAGGATCAATAACTAGAGCTGGAATTATTGAGTACAAAGACCTGTGAATTTATAGATTTTTTATAAATCTTACTAATTTGTCCTTTATAGAGATTGTATTCATTTATCTTTATAGACCCTTTTTATTTCTTCTGTGAACTATTTGGGAATTTGAAAATTTTTATAAGCTCTCAAGGTGATTATAATATGCAGAAAAACTTGAGAACCATGGGTTTTATAAGATTTAACAATTGATTAATTATGGAAAGAATGGGCTAAGAAGGTTCTAAAATCTAGCCTACGTAATACTGTTAACAAATAAGCAGAAGCAGCAGCTGATTTTGTTGGGAAAACATAGAATTTGTTTTTTTTTTCAATATGTTTTTATTGATTTTTTTTAGAGACAGGAAGAGACAGATAGAAACATCAATGTGAGAGAGAAACATCGATTGGCTGCCTCCTGCATGCACCCTATAGGGATCGAGCCTGCAACCCTGGCATGGGCCCTGATGGGGAATCGAACTGGGACCTCTCAGTCCATGGGACGATGCTAAATCCACGGAGCCACACAGGTTGGGCAAGGTTTTGTTTTTTAATTTAAATTTTCGTAACTTAAACTTGTTTTTCCTTTCTTGCAGTTGAAATGGATGCAGTCAGAACTGAATGTTGAAGAAGTGGTCAATGACAGAAGCTGGAAGGTATAAATAATGTTAGCTTTCTAAGAGAACTGGGAGGGAAGCCAAGGGAGGAGGAGTAAGGAGAGTCCTGGGGCTCCTAAGAAAAATAGACGTCTTTTATTTATAAGCAACTGAGGGTGTTCACTTTTTTTGCTTGGGGTAGGGGAGTGGTGGGGTGGGGATATGGTTAGCATTCAAATAGAGCCATCTTATAAAAATTAGCTTTACAGTTATGGTAGAATTGTGTGGCTTGTCATGGTAACAGAATTGGAGATATTCTGTATGTTTCCTAATACTAATTATGGGCATATTTGATATTTAGAGTTTTTACTCCAGTTAACGCAGAACGCTCACTGAGATTATTAAATTAGCCTCTTTGAGCCCAGTTCCTTTCCATAAATTTTCATATCCTGAAACATAGCTTCTTGGGGTCTGATAATAGGGCTTTTTATCCTAGGTTCACATGCTCCTGATTACACCTGCATGCGTGCTCCAGAGAGAGCTGCATACATTCCTTATTCTGTCCCCTTTGCCAGGATTTCCTGTTTCTGCCCTTTTCACCAGCATGATGAGGTGTTTGGTACTTGAAAGATTTTTGGCAGTATTTGTCCATTTAAATTCTCTGGAGAGATAATATTACTCTTGGGATGGGATGGATGAGGAGACAATAAATAACTGGTTTGAAAAATCCAATACAGAGGTTCTACAATGTAGAATGTATTGTAGAATCCAATGTAGAATGTATTGTAGTGGGAAGAGTGAAGCATTTTTGGATTTGATATTAGTTTTAAAGGAAATATACTCCATCTGCCCCACAGAAAGTGAGGTTCCCCACTTGTTTTAAAAAGAAAATGTAGCTATGGTGCGGTAGGTGCGCAGTAGTGGTTAGGAAGTCATTTAGGAAGAGGATTTGGAGAAGCTTGGCCTAGTTGTGTATGTCATCCCTGCCAGTGTGTCGGCCACGGACCTGAACCTTCTCTGGTCCGAACATTGGGATCTTCCGAGCTGCGAACTCCCGTGTGATGAACTAGAAGGTGGAAGGGCCAGAAAGAGGCTATATATTTTCAGTGTTTTCTTTTAATTGTGAGATACACATGCCAAGGCGTATGTAACGTTTAGAATTGAAAGAATGTTCAAACTTTTTAGATTTTTATATATACTTTTTTAAAGTATTCGAAATTTTTAGACACATGATTAAAAGCTGCTTTTTTATATACCATTAAAAGATATACAGTAAAAATTCTACCTCTCTTATAGCCACTTTTCCCTTCCCTCTAAAAGGATGTTATTCACTTTCAGATATGTGCACCTTTTCTGATTTTATATATGTGCACACATACACCTTTCCTCTTTGTCACACAAATGAAAGTGTATTGTCCACACTGTTTCTTTCCCTTAATAAATAAATCTTAGAGATCTTTTAAAATTGGAACATAAACAACTTCCTTATTCTTTTTTATGCTTACATTATATTTCATTGAATGGCTGTATCAAATTATTTCGTTAGCACTGTCCCATATTGATAGACAGTCATAGAGTATGCTTTTGACATTTATGATATGTATTTTGTTTAGTTTTTAGGAAGCAAAGTAAGTAGAACAAAACACTATACAAATTTAGTTTAACAAAAGTGTCCTCCCTTCAAGCATACCTACTTCTAAGAAGGATCTGGCACAGCAGATATCTAAGTAAATTTTAAGTTATAAAAAAAGGAAAAGAACCTTAAACTAATTTTAGATATTTTTATCTAACTGTCCAAAATATGTCTAGAATATGGAGCTGTAATGTTTGTTAGTTACTAAATAAGCTATCTTGTGATGATTTTTTTCCTTGAATCATTTAAATTTTATAAAGTTATTAATGTTGCTTTATAAATGCATATCAAGGCTTTCTGTGCACGTGGCCAGTCAATTTGAACTGGTGAGAAAACTCTTTTACTGCGTAAAACTGTTGACCTGGGACAAACTTATGTCTTCCTGAACCATGATATATTTAATTCAGTTCCAGGCCTAATTTATACAGGATAACTCAATGACTTATTTCTCTTTAAATATCTTAGGTGTTTAATGAACGCTGCCGAATTCACTTCAAGCCTCCAAAGAATGAATGAAAAGATACTTTTTAAAAAGGACCGGGTCATCTCATAAGAGCTAAGCATGATGAACATCAACAAGGCGGGCTTCATAGGATGGTTTCTGAGCCAGCAGTCCAAGACCTTCTGTTGATTTCAGCCCCACTTAGCCAAGACCTCAAATATAAATAATTCTGATAATTATGGAGAAATCAACTGCTATTTTATACTGATTCTGTAAAAAAAGAAAAAAAAAAAAGATGTTTTGTAACTATTAAAATAATTTTCTGACTCAATTTATATATTTGATTATTTTCCACGTTGAGACAATAAGTTCTTATAACAATATGAACACAATTTTAGTATCTGATTTTATTTGTGTTATACCTTTTTTATTTTTACAAATTTATTGGCATGAAGATGGACCTTTTGGTTACTGAAGACTTTATCCCTTTGTTTATTTTTGTGGGTTTATTGCTCTTAAGTAAAAGGGCAGTATTATAGGCTGGATACTGTCCAAAGAAACATTTTCAGTACCTTAACTTCTCTTGGTTTCAAATGCAAAAACTAATTTTGGGTGGAATTTTTTCCTGGACAGTACCTCTATGGATAATGAAAGGGAAAGCAGTAAGAGAAATTCAGAAAAGGGAAAGGCAGAGGAAGACTTTATGATAGTATTCAAATGAGTCAGTAGAAAAAAATGTAATGTCAGAATTTGGTCATTGCAAAAAAAAATGCACTTTCTAGTACAGGGTGATTATGTTAGTTTCTATTGCTGCCTAACAAATTACCACAATTTAACAGTTTAAAATTGCACCTGTTTGTAGGTTTTGTAGGTCAGGAGTCTAGGCAGGCTAATCTGGGTTCTCTGCTCAGGGTTTCACAGGCTGAAATCAAGTTGTCATTGGCTGAATTTTGATCCTTGTGTTGTAAGGCTGATGTCCCCATTTCCTTGCTGGCTGTCATGGGCCACTCCAAACTCTTGGAAAGTACCCACGTTTTTGTTTTTGTTTTTTATCCTCACCTGAGGACACTTTTTGCATTCATCTTCAGATAGAGCGAAAGGGAGAGAGGGAGGAAGAGAGAAACATAGGTGTGAGAGACACCCACATGACCCCAACTGGAACCGAGGTACATGCCCTTAGGGGGAACCGAACCCCGGTCTCTGGACTGCTCTAATTGCTGAGCTAAAATGGCCAGGGCACACCCATGCTTCTTAATCCATGGTCTCCCTCTTCAAGCTAGCAATAGTGCATTGAATCTTTTTCATTCTTGGAAAATGACTTTCATTTCTGGTGTAAACTACACAAATAACATTTACAGGGTTTGTGATTGTTTAGGCTGCCATCCTTTTGTTTAACTCAGCATCAGATGACCATGATCTTAATTACATCTGCAAATCCCTCTGGCCAGGTAATGTATCATCACAGATGTAATGTTTCATCTTCACAGTCTGAGGAATTAGAGTGGGATATCTTGGAGAGCCATTTCAGGATTCTGTCTGCCACAGCTGAAACACTAGCCACATGGCTCTGGCACCGTGAGATTGACCAACTGGGTGGTGGGTCGGCCTGTGTATTCAGTATGTTGACCTTTGTCAGATTATGCAGTTGGAAGTGAGCAATAAAAGTATTAAGTGCTTGCCATTCTTTTAATAAAACTTGAACACTTACTGTGGGTCAGATACTATCTTAGTTTTGGGGAATATTGATAAACAAGACATACTTCTGTGACAATGGTAATGTCGTCTTTTCAACAAGAAAAGAATGTCTAGAGCCAGCAATAAAGATTGTTGATGGGATTTACCTATTAATGATTGGTGCCCGACAGAAAGTTGATGTTCAATAATTATTGGATGTAAGTGAATTGCAAGAATAAAAATAAGACTCAAGAAAGATCTTTTGGTGCTCAGGAAGGAATTTAGTAACAATCTTAGAAAAGGATTTATAACATCCTTTCCAGAATTGCAGGTCTGCTAAAATACTGTCTGGTCCATCCAGTTATATGAGGACACCTGAATCATTCCAATGTAACATGAAAAACATGCAGTTATGGCAGTGTAGTGTGATTTTCAGTCCTCATTGGAGGATATTTTTCAATTGGTTTTCAGATATGGGAGGGAGAGAAAGAAACATTGATGTAAGAGAGACACATTGACTGGTCGCCTCCCGCAGGACCCCAACCAGGGCCAGGGACCAAACCGCAACTGAGGTATGTGTCCTTGACAGGAATTGAACCTGCAACTCTTTGGTTCTCGGGTCGATGCTCTAACTGGTGAGCCAGATTGGCCAGGGCTGGAGTGATTTGTAGTATAAATGAATAGTATGTTTCATCGTGATGAATGGCATTTTACAGCCTCAAATATGAAGAAAAAGGGATGGTGTATTGCCCTTGAAAGTTGATTTACCTGTTGATTGTAGTATTGCGTGTAATTGCCTTAATAACAATTTGTTGATTTCTTTGCTTAAAGGGTAGGTAGGATTTAGCCAAAACAAGAGAACAGAATGTGCAAAAGTTGAGAGATGAGTTTGGCCCTTCCTCAGCATAAGAGAACATAGCCATAGAAGAAACACCGACCACAATTTATGTGTAAATTCCTTTAACAAGTATTTGAATGCCTTCCATATTCTAAGCACTGTTAATACATCACTGAGCAAAAACAGATAATACCTGCTCTTAATAAGCTTACATGTAGTGAAGGGAGACCAAAAATAGTAAAGAAGTAAATTATATAGCATGCTAAAAGGTGGTGATGTTCCATGCCAAAGGGGGGCGGGGGAGGGTTAGGAATGGGGAGTGGAGAGTAGTTTTTTTTTTTTTTTTTATCCTCACCCGAGGACATTTTTCCACTTTTTGTTCAGGTAGAGTGGGAGGGAGAGAGAGGAACAGAAAGAGAGAGAGAGAAACATCGATGTGAAAGGAACACATCGAGTGGCTGCCACCCACACAACCGACCAGGGCCGGGGACAAACTGCAACCGAGGTACATGCCCTTAGCGGGAACCGAACCCGGGTCTCTCAGGACCGCAGGCCGACGCTCTAACCGCTGAGCCAAACCGGCCAGGGCGAGAGTAGTTTGTAAATAACTGTTATGAGGTGATTAGAAATTATGATGCCCCTCCCCCTTTCTTGATGCCCTTGTCTTGAAAAGATTTAAATAGAGACTGCAATATACCAAATAAGCCCAGTAACAAAAAGGAAGTTTTCTAGTAAGTCGTTCTCTTTTTAAAGCTGTGCTCCAAAGATCCCTTTGGGAAATGAAACGATAATATACCCAGTGCCACTGCATGGTCTCCGCCTGTGTGCCACACTACTTACTTTAGACCATCCAGGAATAACTTTTTAACTGGGAGATTAGTCAAATGTGTGGTGTCATTTCAAATCAAGACAATGGAATATTCTGCCTAGAGTTAGGTGATCTAGTAAAATATGCTAGAGATTACTTAGGTTGCTTATGATTTCCATGTGTACTTAGCCTTACAGGTATTTCTTGATTGACTCTTTAAAAAATAAACAACAACAAAACTTCTTGTATAACTGAGCATGAACATTGAAGAATAAAGAAAATCGTCAAAAAGTGCTTGCTCCTTATAGGGGCAGCATTTTCAGAAGAAGCCTAATTTGCCCAAAATGTTAATAAAAGGTATAAGCAAAGAGCTTCCAGCTTCTAAAGGCAGTGGCCAGCTGAGGGCAACCCTGTGAAAGGGGAGAGGATTGGTAGGTGAATTTGTGGATCTTCTGGGGCACTAGGCAGGGACAGCAAATTCACAGGCACTTAAAGAAAATTGCTGTAGATTGAAAGATTTTTTCTACTTCAGTTTTTAAAACTAATAAGCAAAATTTGTCTCCTGATTAAAATTCCTCAGTAGCTTCTCACAGCCTTGAAGATAGCCAATTTTTTAAATGGCTTGTGAAGTCCTTGGTGCCGTGGCTCCTGCTTGCCTCCAACCTCACTGCTCTCTGGGCACCACTTTCTGTTGGTGGAAAAGACCCAACCTCACCTCTGAACTTCTGCACATGCTCTCTTCCCTTCCCTACTTCAGGTCTCAGCTGTCACTTCTTTCAGCAAGCCTTTCGTGACCTCTCAAATACAAATTTGGTGCCCCCCCCCCCCTTTTTTTGTTAATCATCACCCAAGGATATTTTTCCATTGGTTTTTAGATAGAGTGGGAGGGAGAGAGAAACATCGATTGGTTGACTCCCTCCCACACCCTGTCCCGGGTCAGGGATTGAACCTGCAACCCAGGTGCGTGCCCTTGACCAGGAATCGAACCCATGACTCCTTGGTTCGCAGCCTGACACACTAACCACTGAGCCAAATCAGCCAGGACTAGGTGCCCCTTTTATGTGCTCCCTGAGCAACACCTCTATCATGATCTTCACCATGTTGCTTCGAGGCTAGTTTCCCCTTCCCTGCCAACTTTTGAGGACTGGCGCTGTGATTCTCAGTGCCTGGCATGGATAAGCCCGAGGCACTGCTAGTTCTCTTTCTTATATCCATTGTCCTCTTCCTGACCATCAGACTCCTGATTTTGTCTGGAGCGGCAGTGTGCCCAGCTTCCCCTGCAGCCCCAGACAGCAGTGAGGCAGTTGTGGCTAATGAGTCGTGAGCAGAAGACTGCTGGAGCATTTCTGAGCAAGTTTACTGATACAGGTGTTGTCCTTTCCTCCTCCTTTCTAACTGAAGTATGGGTAGGGTGGCTAGAAGTGACAAGGATGAGGACTATTTGCCTGTGTGGTGACAAACATGAAGATAAAAAACACGTTAAGGATGGTCAAACAGTAAGGAGACTGGATCTTTTGTTTTTTGAGGTTTTGGCCTGTCCAGTTCTCTAAAGTCACCTCCTCTTATAAAATGCTGGATTCCCAACATTTGAAAATGTAAAATGCCATTTTCAAATATTAGTGCCTTTCTGGGTGCCCTCTATTACCAAGGGGAGCACAGGAAAGAAGGGGAAATTCTGGTGCAGTGGGTCATGGGTTGGGCAAGAGGGGACAGAGGGAGGAGGGGGAGGAAGGGGGACCAGGAAGTTGCCTGCCTCACAGTCATCTATTTGGAAACATCGTGCCCAGTCGGAGCCCAGGACACTGGCTCTTCAATGGCATTGTGGGTTGTTGTTCCAGCCCCAAGCTGTGTCTCCATACTTGTTATCAAGTGAGGACAGGGGTTTTTATCTGTTCATTTGGGGATGTAACAGGAGTGGTTAACCTATTTGGTTAAGTCTCTATATTTAAGATTCTTTTACATGCAGGTAAGTGCAGCCCATAGGTGATGCACCGTTCAAATATCTGTTCA